GGAGAACATAACTGACACAAAATAAAATTTGGTTTTTCAATGAAGTTCCCTTCCCTCCACCTCCATGCCAAACCTCCAGAAACTGCGGCCAGTGTTGCCTCACCCAGGGCCCTTCATCAGTCTGCATCTGCTCGTCCAACTCAGAACGAGCCAGTTACTAGAAAAGCACTCACCGCAAGCCTGGCATTCGGCTACGGTGTTTCGCAAAAATGATGTTTCCTTGACCTTTAGAAATGGGAAGAGGGGAAAAAAAAAGATTGAAAGGGAGTACCTGATACATAATCCAGGAATGAAAGAATCCATGTGCAGCAAGCCATGGATTTAAAGTAGTTCTAAAGTAACCCTTAAGGGCTCCCATTCTGCTTGGAGCCATGATGTGTTTTTCACATGCCTGTCCCCCATTTCCAGAGCCTTTGTGTCAGTCCCAGTGGGGAGGGCTGCGCGGGCCTCCCTGCCTCCCGCCGTGCTGCGGGCCTGCCGCTCCAGGAGCTCGCAGAGCTTCTCTGATAGCACTGGTGCTTTTCTACAGTATGTCCCGATTGTTACCTGCTGTCTCAGAAGATCCTTCACCTCTCCCAGGAGCTGGTTTAGTTGTGTCATTTGCCCCAAGAACTGCCGATTAAAGTCGCCTATAGCAACAACAGAAGGTAAGGAGCATTCAGCCACTGACAGCTATTTCTACAGTGACTCAAAAGCAAACGATTTCCCAGAGAACGATCATGAAAAAACCTAGGGTATAGGAATTTAACTTGGTGTAATTCATCTCAAAAATAATGATCACGGTGCCCCCGGCTAGTTCAAAATTCATGTGAGTTATAAAAATGAAAAAGGGCAAGGACAATATTCCCTGCCCTGGATTTTGATGCAAGAGCCTGATGTCCGCAGCTGCCTCCCGTGGGCCCGCTCTGCGGACAGCCCACCTTTTGGGGCGGGGGCCCAGCCCCTTCGGAGGCCCGGGGCTTTGTCTGTGTTGGTGACGGTAGGAAACTGCCCGAGAGCCCGCACCTGTGCTGGCGGCCACCGGCTCGCTCTGCTGCAGGAAGCAGTCTTGCAGGCCGGCCACCTGGAACAGCGAGCCTCTCGCCACCAGCTTCAGCTCTTCCAAGGAGTCCTGGAAAAAAATCACATTCACAGCACACAGCGCGGGTGCCGTTCCAAAGCCAGTGTCTGCA